CACGACCGGCCGCCTCCAATTTACATATGTTTTAACACTAAGATTTGGAAGCGTTGAGCCTTACCGAAGCCTTTGTGTTTTGTTTTGTTCTAAGTCCCCCTCCCTCCCTCCCTCCCCCCCACCTCTTACCAGCCTCACTTTGGTCCTGATGGCCGGGTTGCAGGATCGAAGACCCAAATCCTTGCAAATGAAAGATTCCCTCCCCCAAACGAGGAAGGAGTTGTTGTTGTTGTTGTTCCGCCCGTTTTCTTTTAATGGCCTCGCAGCCCTCTGTGTGGCCGTGTTCCCTATGAATAATTGCTTCACTGTTTTTTCCTGGGGGCTCGTGTTTGTGAGACTGGAAGGTGCTAGGTTCTTCGTTTTCCATTTCCCAGACAGGAAATTAAGCTTTTCCCTCCATTCGAACTTTTTAGAAAAACATGATGTGTATGTGAAAAATAACCCCCAAAATAGCCCATGTTTTTGATTTAATTAACCTGGACCTTTCTTTAGCTCAGCAGTAGAATCTTTTATAGGGAGGGCCTGGAAAGATTACTGATGTTTTGTTTGTTTTTGATGAGGGCTACTTTCCCTTTCTGAACCTCAGTTTCCTGCTCTGTTAAATAAGGGGATGGTTCTGGATGATCTTTACAAGACAATGATGACTAGCTCTGTAATATGTTAAATTGAAAAGTGAAGTTATGAAACTCGTTTGTGGTGGGGGGCTACTTGCTGTAGACAGGCTAGGTTTGAATAGAAGCAGCATTAGAGGATGAGGGAATCCAGTCATCCCCAAACCAGACTCTTGGAGATTATGCGTGACATATATGGCTTTGGGCGCCTCACACTTATTTCACCTCTTAAGGGCTATATTGCCTTTACTTTTTTTTGTTATGACTTTACCTAAATGCTTCAGAAAAATTATGGCATGTGTGTTGATTATTGACAGATCATCTACAAAGACCGTTTTTCCTTTTTGTGAATCACAAGTGGAAAATGTCTTTGGCCATATTGTTCCTATAGAAAAGCTATTTTAAGCCGTGTGAGCAGTTTTAGGAATAAAAATCACATAAACTCAGGTCAAAAAGCATAGAAAACAGGAACGGAGTGTGTTTAGGTTTTTATTTACTTAAGAATTTGAAGGTTTTTTGCGTTTGTAAACTGAAAGAGATGGTATTATATTGAAATAACTGTAAAGTGGAAACGGGCTAATTCCCGGTTAAACAGCGCTAATTTTGAAAAGAATGTTCTGAAATAAACCAAGAATTAGAGATTAGAAATTGAATAACTAATATTCCTCAATGGAACTTCAGTTTTGTTAAATAAGATGTAAAAATTGCGTGTTCCTTAAATGGCTCAGTTTTAAGCTACCTCCTGGGGGAAAAAAAACAGAACTAAAACTCCCATTAATGTTTATAAGGTATCAGTTTTAATTGGAAAACATACTGTTTGCTTTAAAATTTTTAATCGTGTAAGGTTCAGAACACCCTGAACTATTGGGTAACGAGATTTATTGTTATCATTATTATTATTATTATTAAGAATTAAGTCAGGCAGTTTAAAAACCTGGTGTCTGAGACAGGCAGCTTTTTAAAAGTGCATCTCTAAGTCAAACTGATTTTTAAAATGATTTTCTAAGTTAGTTAAAAAAATATGCAAGCTAAGTCAAATACTTAAAAATGGATAGCTAAAGTGTACAATTTGGAAAAACAGATATGTCAGAAAATGTACAGATATATTTAGCTCAGACAGTTTCTTGAAAACATTTCTAAATCAAACTAAAAATACATGTCTAAGTCAGAACATTAAAAAATATTTTCTGTATGTTATACCATTTAAAATCTTACGTACTTAAATTGGCCTGACTAAAATCTTTCTCGGATCATTATAAGAAATCAGATCATTTAAAATATCCTTGTAGTCAATTCAGACTATCTAAAAAATAGATTTTGCAATTAAACAAAAATGGTTTGCCTAAGTCAGAATTTAAAAAAGAAAATACACCTTTATATATTTTAATTGTGTGCATTAAAAAATGTGGCACGTCATAAATTTCTGAAGTGTTTAGGGGTGAAGTATTATATCTTCAGTTTGCTTACAGTTGTTTCTACAGAAACTATTTCTACACACACACACACAATCAAATATGGAAAGATGTTAACGTGACTAAGTAAAGGGTACAATTTTTTCAACTTCTGGAAGTTGGAAAAGTGTTATGAACATTTTGGGGAAAAACCCATGTCTAACACAATTTTTAAAAACATTATTGAATAACATGCAGTGTTTTTCACTGCATATCTGGCTCATAGAAATTTTAAAACCTTATTTCTAACTTGTAAATTTCAAAACCATGTAGCAAATCAAACTGTAGCTGTCAATATGGACTGGGTTTTAGGTGATATAAAGAAATTATTAAACTAATTATAATTAATTAAGCTTGTTAATTTTATTGGAGAGGCCTACTGAAATGTTTAGTAGTGAAATGTCAAAATATCTCTTATTTCATATACTTAACCCCCCCTAAAAGGGAACAAAATAAGGCAAAGTGTTTCTAATTGTTAAGTGTCCTAAGGAATATGTGGGGGTTATTTAACATTTTATACACTTTTTGGTATGTTTGAAAAATTATGAATAAAAACTTAGATATATAGCTGTCATGTTAAAAACATGAGTAAAACAAAAGGAGACAATTTGTAAATATTTATCTAAAATTCAGGTAATTAAAAAGGAAGTAAGTAAACTCTAGAGTTTATTAAAAAATCATAACCTGAATTTCTAGTTCCTAGTTAGAAGAGAAAGCTGTAGAAGTTGATTTAGGTGTGT